TGTGTGTGTGTGTGTGTGTGTGTGTGTGTGTGTGTTCACCTATGGCTTTGCTCTGTCTTTCTTAATAACCCAAAGACAAAGAAACACCGGAACATTTCCCTTTGTACTGAGCCCACACTTATGATTAGAAACCGACTAAGTATCTTTACAATACGAGTTACTTTAACCTATATTTGTCGGTATCACTTTCTGTTGCCATAGTAACGGCTTTAAGAATAGCTTGTCACAGGATGAAAGCCCATTACAATAAAGGTTAGTTGGGTTCGGAAGGGTCATACGGTTGCCAAATGCAAACATGCTCAGTAATACAGTCGTAGAGGAGTGAACCACATGAAAGCAGTACAGTGCCACAAATTATGGATATGGATCCCATCAATTAGAATAAATCTGCCACAAAAAAAAATCCAAACCAGCCGTCTAAGATTGATGGCTTTACTTTTTGAGGAAGAAAAGTTCTCTTCCAGGATTTTAGTGAGGTTTTTCAGCTAATGAAAGAAATATCTTCCGTGATCCTATAGCTTTGCGGTTTGCACGCTCGTTGTCCTAATTAACAGTAATGGCTTTCTTCTCCACCCCCCACCCCCACCCCTTTTCCCTTTTTCCACTTTTGTGTTCGCAGACGTTTGCAGGAGCCCAAGTGCTACTTCTGCTGACGGGCCACAACGCCTGTGGGGACCCCTGCCATCTGTTTAATCAGGTGTGTGACCTAGTTTTCGTCCTGGTCTCGGCAACAAACTTCCTGCTCTACTACGCCTTCGGCCAGCGTTTCCGCCGTATCATTCGTGGATACTTCTGCAAGTCCCACGTCACGAGCACGCGAAGGTATACATTCAGCAGTGCCTCCAACGAGATGAGGCTCTTGGGTCGGAACACGACGTTCACGAGGAGCGAGAGAAGATTCTCGGACCAGAGTCAGTCGCAGGTGATGGAGACGAGACTGTTGAGCAAGTCCGATGCCTGACGGGTGGAACAAGGGAACTGTTGTTGTTTTGTTGAAAGAGAACAAAATAACGCACACTAAAGATACTAATCCACGGCACTAGGAGCATTCTATGTTCAAATCCTAGCCCGATGGGGAGAAACGATTCTGGTCCTGGATTGCCTCGACGTAGACAACCTACAAGGATGAACATTCTGTCATATCTAAGACAGACGTGAAGACTGCTTCTCAGCTAATCCTGTCGATGAAAAAGCGGATGAAAAACGTCTTTTCAAGCTCAAATGTAAAACATTTACTTTTAAATGAGACGATATTGTTCACGCAGAACTTAACCACATCTGTTATAGGTGCCCTGTGTTATCTGACTCACATAGCACACAGAGGGCTCTCAGCAAGGCAAACATTTCAATGTTCTGATCAAACGTCTGACTCGAACCGAAAAGAATTGTATTAGAAAAAAAAAGTGTAGATCTGATAGTTACAACTGGGCATGCATTCCTTGAATTACTCGGGCTCCTCCATCCACACCGAATAAGAACTTGATCAAGAGTTAAAGGTAAACCAAATCTGACATTTAGAAAGCCGTCTTAGTAAGTTTTGTGCTACAGAAATGTTCGAAGAAGGATTAAGATTAATGTGTACTATGTGTAGGTTTTGAGCACGTTGTGGTATGCCAGGGAGACCTGGACAGAGAAATCGCTTCTCGGTTTTCACGTGACGTGCCACACAAAGGTTCTCGGCTAAATGAAGTAAGACACGATCACTAAAACACATTGCCATCGGTATTTTGCGGATGGCAGAGGTATCATACTACTTGCTCCAGCATCACTGGACACAAAATAGAGTGACAAATTATTATGTGATGGGACGTGGTGGAATCAGGCGCTTGTCAAAAAAAGGAAATCGAAGAAACCGACTTGTTTGCTGTTAAGAGTTGATCAAAAGCCCACAAAATGTAAATTTGTAGTTTCCAACTACCCACAAGCCTAATACGGGGCGCCCATTGTGGATGGGATCGGGTCGGGTCAGGGTCGATCGCCCGACTCGTCGCCTGAAAACAAACGCGTTTATTTTTGGGGGGACGAGTCAGGCGCGATCGGCTTGTTCCACGATTGCGGCTCTGCGCCTTCAATCTGGCTGGTAAACCGACCCGACCCGACCCAATCCCCCAATAGGCACCCCGTATAAGAAGTAACCTATCTTTGGGGCCATTTTCTCGCTTTCCCCCCTCCCCTATTCTACCTCCTTCAATCGCAAATATCTCGACTTCTGTTTACAATAGATTGCCATATTTTCATTAAAAGCTAGACCAGTTTTAATGAACAAGCAAGCATTAAGATGATATCAATAATAACTTTATGTGTCCCCCCCCCCCACCCAAAAAAGGAGCTCCTAATTTCCCTGTAAGGACACAAATGCATTACCACTACTTAGGAAACAGTGGCTCTGTGACTATGGAAAAAGGTCCGCTATGTCACCCGCCTAAGAAATGACCTATCTATGTCTACTGGGGATTTTGACTCGCACAAAACAAATCTTCTCTAAAATGTCACGTCTTAAGCCCGTCTCTGGGGACTGGATCCACTCACGCGACCACAAACTGAGCACGTCGTTTTTCATTGAATACTTTCCTCCCCTCTTCTGAATCTCTCGCTAGGTCGGAGCGGTGACGTCGGGTTGTTCACTCTCGGAACTCTGACACCAATAGTATCATCGATGTTTCGTTCACTCTCGGAACTCTGACACCAATAGTACCATCGATGTTTCGTTCACTCTCGGAACTCTGACACCAATAGTACTATCGATGTTTCGTTCACTCTCGGAACTCTGACACCAATAGTACCATCGATGTTCCGTTCACTCTCGGAACTCTGACACCAATAGTACCATCGATGTTTCGTTCACTCTCGGAACTCTGACACCAATAGTACCATC